TACCCGCGTATTTGTCTACGATGCTGAGCTGTCCGCCCGCTCGTATCCGGGGGGGTATGTGGGCACCACATGTCAGTACATAAGGCTTGGGGCACCTTATCTCGTGTCGGGCAAAAACCCTTTTTTTACTGTTGCCAGCTGCATGCCGTTTCTGGGGCATGCCCGACACGACTCGCTTGGTGACCGCTGGCCGTGTTCGCACAGTCGGGCTCAAACATGTTACTCAAATCGTACAGCAGTACAGATGCTCTGTCCACAACCAACAAGGAGGGGACTGCTGCTGCTGCTGTTGTGGTAGCGTGCATTAGGCGGAGGAACCAGGCGCATATTGTATTTGTGCATGCAACTGCATGCCGTCTCCTGGGCATGTCGTTGACGAGACGCGGTTGGTGACCACCGGCCGTGCTCTCCAACCCTCGAACAAAGTGCACCCGGGCGCTCTGCTGTCGTGCACAACAGCGTATGTTCACCGGACAGTGTTTCGTCGGTGTTGTCTGTAGGTACAGCATGATACACTTTTGGTTCAACTGCTGCTTTGTACAACTGCAGCACCACCGTTGTGACGCCACATCGGGTTGAACTGGCGTCCGAGATAACGCAGGAGAAGAGCGCTGCAGTCGGCGCGACATCGCAAAGCTAAACTGGCAGTCGTTATGTTGGCTAGCGTACGGCGCAATGCTCAGTCCTCCCGCCCGTGAGATGCTTCCACACGACGTTCGGTACACGCAACCACATCACATCACTAATAATGACACCGCGATATCCCGTGTGCACATTCCTTGTTGCACTTGCTGGTGCAGGTACTGGCCTGGCTGACCATACTCGGCAGGGGCAACTGCTTTGCAAGCATCTACCAGATGTCGTGGATGAGCGCGAAGACCGTGTAGACGATGTTCCACAAGTTCTGCAAACACTTCGCACGGGAAATGTACGATGAACACATCTAGCTCGCGTCGGAACAGAACGACGAGCTGGACCACGTCATGGAGCAGTACGACCGGCTTGGGTTTTCGGGCTCGATGGGCTCCATGGATGTAACTCATATCGGTTGGAGTAAGTGCCCCTACAACCTAGCCCGTTCCTACACAGGCAAAGAGGGGGTTCCTGCGATCGGGTACCAGGTCATGGTTAGTCACGCTGGCCGTGCAATTGCCGTGACCGAGGGCTTCACCTGCTCGACGAACGACAAGACCATCGTCTGCTGGGATGCCGCGGTCGAGAAGATTCGGACGGACAAGCAGTACACGGAGAAGACCTTCGACGTGTACAACGAGGATGGGACGACGACAACGCTCAAGGGGTGCTACTTGCTAGTCGACAACGGGTACCACAAGGTGGATGGAAATGACATGTTGTGATTTTGGGTGACCGACGGTAGTGTTTTTGAAGAGGTGTGTGTCCGGCCTGACAGAAAGAGA